ATCGCCGGAGCCCAGCAGGTCGAGGCTGCGGTGGCCAGGAGTGTGCCACTGCACTCCAGTTTGGGTGACAGAGTGAGACTCCAACTCAAAAAAATTAAAAATTAAAAAAATAAAAAGCATCTCCAAGCCAGGCTCGGTGGCTCAGCCTGTAATCCTGCACTTTGGGAGGCTGAGGTGAGTGAATTGCCTGAGCTCGCGCGTTCGAGACCCGCCTGGGCAACTTGGCGAGACCTCATCTCTACAATAAATAAGAAAATTAGCCTGGCGTGGTAGCACACGCCTGTAGTTCCAGGTACTTGGAAGGTTGAGGCGGAAAGATCGCCGGAGCCCATCAGGTCGAGGCTGCAGTGGCCAGGAGCGGCCACTACATTCCAGTCTGGGTGACAGAAATTCTGACTCAAAAAAAAAGCATCTCCAATGATTTGCACATGAAGCTACAACTGGGCAGCATCTGAGGTCCAGGGAAGGGATGATTATCCACCCAGGTTTCCAGATTGCCCTGCTGTGCTGAGGTGGGGAATCCTCAGACTTGGGGAGAGAAGCAGGAGACCCTCCCAGGAGAGGAAATATCTCTGTCTGGGAAACAGTATACTTGCACTGCACAAATGGAGGCCCCCAGGCCTGGTCATGGTGATCCTGCTGGGGTCAGGGGAGGCAGGCACTTGTCTTCCTGAGGTCTGAGCTCTGCCAGGAGGGACCAGCCACACCCCTTTCTAAAAACAGGGCTTCCCCATGTTGGATTTGTGGCTCAGGAATCTACCAGTAGTTGCCTATCTCACACTTTGCTCTTGCTGGTGGGGCATGGGGAGGGAAGCTCACTAAAAAGTCTCTGGGAGGGAGGCCCCCAACTTCTGCAAGACAAAGGAGAATTAGCCCTGAGTCACACCTGCTCTCTCCCCAAGGTTCAACGAGGAGCAAGGAGCCACCAGCTCATGCTGGAGTGGGAAGGAGGGTAGGGGTGGAACTAGGGGCAGCTGACTGGAACAGGAATGTGGGGCCCAGCCATGCAGGGAGAAGGGGACCAGCTGTTCTCCACGTGCAGAGAAGAGACTCAGAGGAAGTGGCTGTCACTGTAGTGAGAGAGGTCAGATGTAGGGATGGACTTCCTGATGGTGACAGGGGAGCATGCGATGGGGGTGGTGACCGCAACAGAGTAGATGCCTCTCTCTGCTGGACAATCAGGACATTGAACCCGGCAGGGTCTTGGGTGTGACAGGGCAGACTGGGTACTGAATAGTCTGTTGTTCCCTAGGTCAAGACACAAGATGCCTCTGTCACTTTTCCCTTGGGAGAGTCAGCTCCTCAGATTTGGGGGTCGAGGGGGAAGGGAGACAGGAAAACAGCCTGTCACCTTAGTGTTGTCTGCCCCTCCCCCCAACTTGGGACAGAAGGGCTCAGTGTGACCCAGCCCGAGGCCAGCCCAGGGCCAGGCACAGTGCAGCCTTTGTCCCCGGGGCCAGGGAGCCATCTGGGGCTGTCCCCGTGCAACTGGTGCCAGGGGAAGAGGGCGATGGTGTCCAGGAATGCTGGCCCTGCAGAGGCTGTGGGAGAGGCTGAAGGAGCTGAGCCCCCGAGGAGCTGCAGGGGTGTACAGGCAGACCCCGACCAGCCCTTCCTCCTGCCTCCCTGCCCAGGTAAGCTGGTGAAGCTCTCACCCCAACTTACTTCCTCCTGGCACAGGCCAGCAGGCCCAGAACTTCCTGCTGGTTCCAGAGAAGCGGGTGGCACAGGAGGAAGAAGGAGTGAGTCCAGGAGGAAGCCCAGCACTTGCCAGAGGCCACTGTGCACCGAGTGAGAAAGGGCCAGAGGCCGGAGATGTTAGCAGGGGAAGGCGCTGTGGGTCCATCCCTGGCTCAGTAAGGATGCTAAGCATCCGAGAGGGGAACCGCCTGGCCCAAAATCACACTGCCATTTCCTGGCACAAACCATGGCCACATTGCTCCTTTCTTCTCCTAGCTGGCATCCTCTCCATCCCCGCCCCTTCCCTGTGGCCTAGGCTCCACACTCCTCCTCCAGGTCTCTTCCACTCCCACTCTGAACTACAAGCCAGACGAACCCCAGTTCACACTCTGATGCTACTGTAAGCATGCTGTGGATTACAATTCGGTCATAGAATCCCTCTCTGGGCTGGGCTCGGTGGCTCAGCCTGTAATCCCGTGCTTTGGAAGGCCGAAGTGAGTGAATTGCCTGAGCCCGCGGGTTCAAGATCCACCTGGGCAACTTGGCGAGACCTCATCGCTACAATTAAAAAAAAAAAAAAAAATTAGCCGGGCGTGGTAGTGCACACCTGTAGCTCCAGCTACTTGGAAGGCCGAGGCGGAAGGATCCCCAGAGCCCAGCAGGTCAAGGCTGCAGTGGACGGGAGCGTGCCACTGCACTCCAGTCTGGGTGACAGGGTGAGACTCCAAGTCAAAAAAAAAAAAAGAATCCCCCTCTGCCTTGGTGCCACCCACTCATGCAACAGTACTA